ATAATTCTTAAACAACATAGATAGAACTGTGTGGACTTATTTATACAAGGATTTTCTTGTAAATAGACTATGTAAACTTGTAGGATAAATAAATACAGTATATTTTCTCTTCCTTATGATTTTCTTTTCTTTCCTTTCATTTACTTCATTTTAAGAATACAATGTGTATTACATATACAAAGTATGTGTCAATCGACCATCTGTTGTTAGTCAGACTTACAGGCAAGAGTAGTTAGGTTTGGGGAGGTGTCAAAAGTCATGTTTCGATTTTCAACTGTGTTAGCAGTTGGTGTTTCTAACCTCAGGGCTGTTCAAAGGTCAACTATAGTGATCAGTGTTTGGATTTTAAGTCTATCATTGTATTTCAGTTTCAGTTTCTTCTGTTTATCTTCTATTTCCTCTTTTCAATGTCCTTTTGAGCTATTTGAACATTTTTTTATTTTTACAACTTATCTATTCTGTGTGCATTTTCTTTTTTTTATTGCATAGAAGAACTGGGGTGTAGGCCAGAGGTGCAGAAGGTAAGAGGATTCACCAGAGTCAGAGTGGGGAGCAGAACAGGCAGATTGACTGAAATCCACTGCTAAGAGGAACAGAGGGAGAGACAGGAGAGGTCTGCTGCGCCATGTGGGTCAGCTCCTTGGCTGGGGATCGAACTCAGGCCATAGCGGTGGTAGCACCAAGACCTAACCCCTAGGCCACCAGGGAGACCACTCTATTGTGTGTTTTGATTTTATCTCTTTGGATCGATTGTGTATTATTCTAGGGAGTACAATATAGATATTTAACTTTTCTAAATCTACTTAAATTACCATTTCAGCACTTCATAGCTAAATTTCCACATAGCGCTCTTTATTCTTGCCCCTTTATAGTGTAGTTCTGTTACATGTTATTTCAATACACACTGAAAACCCCATCGGACACCGTTAAAATTTTCGCTTTTCAACCACTAAACAAATTTTAAGGAATAAACAGAAGAACCATCTACCATATATCATAATAGATATTCGTTATTTCTTTTCTCCATTTCTAATACCAAGTTTTCCTTTTGGTACCATTTTCTTACATCTGCTGAATTCCTTTAGTATTTCTTTAAGAGCAAGTCCACTGGCAACAAACCGTCTTAGTTTTCCTTATCTTAAAATATCTTCATTTCAGTTTCATTCTGACAGAATTTTTCTTGGATTTAGAATTCTGGGTTCACAGTGCAGGTTGGAGGAACACTCAGTAAACTCAACATCAGTTCACTTTGAATTTTTGTCTTCTTCACTGATCTGCCTGTTCATACTCATTTTTCAGCCCTTAATACCTGCTCTCTGCATCCTCTCCAGGGTTTACAGCTGCAGTGGAGAGACAGGGTAGGGTGTGCTTACACCATCTCTACCCAGAAACCGAATACTCTTCCTACCCTTCACTGCTTTCCCATTAGGGAGAGGAACTCATTGGTTAGTGGGAGCTAATCGTCCCTGGTCAATGCTTCCAAGTAAGTGGGGTGATTTCCTGAAAGGTCACAGCCAGGCATGCTCCAGTGCCTTGTTTTATCTTTATTTTTTATTCTTTGCAGCAGGACAACGAAGCACTGCCTTCTCTGTCACCGCCTGGTAAGTGCCCACAAGGCAGGCCCCGCGCCTCTTCCAGAGATAGCTCTAGCCATCCTCCACTTTCCTCCTAGGATCTCAGCGTTTGTGCCGCCAATGAGATTTCTCATGGTGGTCTCAGGGGTCTGCTCTGTGAGTCCACTTGGTCATGGGAGGTGCAGCACAGAGGTGCAGAGAGAATAGGAGGAGGAAGACTGTGCTTTGGTCAGTCCACTTTGTCAGAAAGTCATGAATCTGAGGGTTGTTTGGTCCCTGCCTGAAGTCTTTTGTAGTTGATACTTTCTACTTTTCTTTCAGGGCAACCCCAAGTTAAATGGTTGGTCTACTGTGGGTCCTCACGGCGCTCTTAAAAGGGGCTTATAATGAGACTCAACTGCAGGCACACACACAAAAAGCTAATAAAGGATTTATTTACCAAAGAGGGAAATGAAGAAAGGAATAACTCAGGGAGAAAGAGAGATAAATTGGTGAATGTGTCTTACCAGTTTGGCTGAGCTGGAACCCTAATAGCACACTGAAAGCCAGTGAAAAACCCAAGCACCCCCAAGGCCCACATACCTGGTTATACACCAAGCCTGGCTGCTTAACTCCAGCCCCAGTTCCCAGCATCCTCCCTTCGGTGGTGATGATATTATGGGATTTGTAGTCCTTGGTGTTTTGGTTCTCTTTGGTCTGGGGTGGGGGTGGGGCCATAAAACCTGTTTGTGGAGTTTGCTCAGGACATCTTCTCCCCCCAACACTTTGACCATAAGATTCTTGTAACTAATATCTCCCATCCACTAGACTCCTGGTTTAGTCGTGGTAAGAGACAGAAAGTCTACTCTAACTGGTTTAAACAAATAGTTTGTTGTTTTTATAAATTAGAATGCCAATTTTGGGGGCCTCCTCTGGTGGCGCAGCAGTTGAGCGCTGGGTTGCGAAGCTGCCCGCAGCCTCTGCAGCGCCAGTTCAATCCCCGGCCTCCAGCGAGGGTCCCACATCGTGTGACAGACCTCTCCTGCAGCCTGCTGATCCCCTCAGCAGTGTACTTTGTCAGTCAGCCTGCTCTGTTCTCCGCTCTAGCTCTGGTGAATTTACTCACCCTCTCGCGCTTCTGACTGTACCCAGTGCTTGTATAAATAAATATCAAAAATAAAATAAATCTTTAAAAAATAAAATAAAATAAATACCAATTTTATTGGCTAAGCTAGAACCAGGAGTCCTTCTCTTCATCTTGCAGGTCTGCTTTTTCCCATAATGGCATTATTGTTGGGTCCGAGGAGCTCGAGGTTAGAAATGCTACAGTGAGAAATCACAGTAAGACCTTCTTCTTGCCAATATTTCTAAAAAATCCTAAAGCTGGTGGGCCTCCCCGGTGGCGCAGTGGTTGAGCGCTGGGTTGCGAAGCTGCCCGCACCCTCTGCAGCGCTGGTTCGATCCCCGGCTGCTCCCCGGCCACCGGAGGAGGGTCCCACATGGCGCGCAGACCTCTCCTGCCGCCCGCTGCTCCCCTCAGCCGTGTACTTCGGTCCTTCTGCCTGCTCTGCTCCCTGTTCTGGCTCTGGTGAATTCTCTCACCCTCCCGCGTTTCTGACTGTACCCAGTGCTTGTATAAATAAATAAAAATCTTAAAAAAAAAAAAAATCCTAAAGCTGGAGCTCACTCACTCTGATTAGATGACAGGTCCATGCCTGTGACCTAGAGAAAGGTTGGCCCATACAAATCCTAAGGACCAATAGCAGACAGTGGCTCCCCATGGAATACAGGGGTGCCAAAATAACAAACAAAGAAGATGCTTTGGAAAGCAAGCAACACCTGTCACTGCCTCATCCAAGGAAAAGTCTTATCAAAATTGTAATTGCAACTCACATACATTCCAACTATACACCAGGCACTATACTTTACATGGGATCAATGCACTTAGCACTCAAAATATTATTTTTTTTAAATCATGAAAATGTACCCCAACATTAGCAGTCACCAAGACAATGTGCATTAAAAGAGTATATGGAAGACATAAATTCTCATCCATTGCTGCTTAGCGTAACAAAGGTGTAGAGTCACTTTGGAAATCAATTTGGCAGTTTCCATAAAGTCAAACCATACTTACATCTGATTCAGCAATTTGATTCTAAGATATTTTCCCTAGGGGAAATAGCTATCCAGTCCATCCATCTACCTACCCACTGAAGTAGGCCAATTTTAGGATGTGTGCCCTCAAGATTGTCCAATTTTAGCACAACTCCTGATAAGTCAATTATCTCTGCCTGCTCTTCTCCTAGGCACTTTGCAGGTGGCTTATGGCTCCAAACACACTCTCTGTCCATCAGGTACGTGCACAAAGGGGAGTGCGGGAAAACAACTCCGCACAACAAAAGCAATGCCCTTTTGTTTGTTTCTCCTGCCCTGTGCCTCGTGTGTTTCATTTATTCGTTAAAAGAACATTTCCTGGGCCTCTCTGGTGGCGCAAGGGGTTAAGCACTGCACTAGGAAGCAAAACACAGCCTCTGCAGCAGGAGTTCGATCCCTGGGGGGCCAGGGAGAGACCCACATGGCGCAGCAGACCTCTCCTATTTAACCCTCTGCTCCCCTCAGCAGTGCATTTCAGTCAGTCTGCCTGTTCTGTTCCCCGCTCTGTCTCTGGTGAATACACACACACACACACACACACACACACACACACACACACACCGCCTTTACCCCAGCTCTTTTATGCATAAATAACTCTTTAAAAAAAAAAAAAAAAAGAGCATTTCCTGAGTTCCCGCAATCCCAGTCACCGTGGTGGCGCGACAGGCCTTCCCGTTGCTCCCGAGCTGCGCACGGCTAGTGTGAAACGCCCTTTCTCGTCAGCAGGCGCGTCTGACCCCCCCCCCCCCACCCCCCACCCCGCCCGGGTCTGGAATTCCCAGATCGAGGGTTTCTCAGGTCGACGGTGCCGGAGCCCAGAAGCAAAGGCCCTAAACTTACTTTTCCCCCTGAGGAGCCATTGACTCGCGCACCCGGGCCCTGGGGCGCCGGCCGGCCGGCCCCGGCCCTGTCAGAATCTCCTCACAGGAACCCCCGCGCCGCACCCGGGGCCTTAGGACCCGGGGAGCTCGTGCCCCCCCCACCCCACCCCGGCTGCCTGGGGGGGCCGGGGCTTCCGCGGCTCCCCAGGGCACCGGGCGGTTGGTGCCTCAGCGAGGACGCGGGGTCGGGGCCGCCGCCAGCTCGTTCCAGCTCCAGGCGCGCCCGGGCCGGCCCGCCCGCGCGCCCCGAATCGCGCCCCGAATCGCGCCCCGCCCCGCGCCCGGAGCCCCGCCCCGAGTCCCGAGCCCCGCGCCCCGCCCCGAGCCCCGCCCCGCCCGGCCGGGGGTGCGGCGCCGCCGCCCACGCGCCCCGCGGCGGCCTCGGCCTGTGCGCGCGGCCCGGGCGCCTCGCATGGACGGCGGCTCCGCGGCGGGCGGCGGGCCCGGGCGGCTCCTGCTCTGCGGGCTCCCGGCGGGGCTCGGCGCGCTGCGCCCCCGCTCCCCGGCGCGGGCCTCCCCGCGGCTGCTGCTCCTGCTGCCGCCGCCGCCCGCCCCGCGCCGGCCGCTCGCCGACTGGGGGCGCGCGCGCCCCGGCACCCTCGGAACCCCCGGGCCCCCGGGACCCCCGGCTGGGCGCGCCGCGGCGGGGCTCGGCCCGGGCGCCCCCGCGCTGGGCCGCGGCCCCCGCGCCGCCTGCAGGAGAGGTGAGGCCGGAGGCGCGCGGGGCGGGCGCGGGGCGGGCGCGGGGCGGGCGCGGGGCGGGCCCGGGGACCCAGAGGAGCAGCCCGGGGCGCCGGCCCTCCGGGGCGCGGGGCCCGAGGTCGGTCTGTCTGTCCGGCGCCGCCTGGGCCGGACAGCGGGGAGGAGCCGGAGGGCTGGAAATTCAGTCCCGAGGTTTTGGGTTATTTAGTTATTTATTCACACAAGAACCGGGGTGCAGGCGAGAGGACTCCCCAGAGACAGAGCGGGGAGCACAACAGGCGGCCTGACTGAAATACACCGCCGAGGGGAGCAGCGGGCGAGACAGGAGGGGTCTGCCGCGCCGTGTGGGTAGCTCCCTGGCCGGGGATCGAACCCGTGCTGCAGAGGCTGCGGGCAGCTTCCCAGGGCTGTGCTTAACGCCCTGCGCCACCGGGGAGGCCCAAGTCCCAAGGTTTTGGCGCAGATTTTTAGCGGGATGCGGGCGGGGGAGGCCGAGCGTGCTGGGCGGAGGGGCGGTGCGCGCCCGCCGGGGGCTCTCGTTGTGTCGGTGCCCGGCTTGGGGCGACGCCCGGGTGAAGGGCGTGCGGGAGGCCGGGAAGCTGGAGGAACCGAGCCCTGGGGAGCGAAGGGCGTTTTACAATTTCATTTCAGACGCTGAGGGAGTCATTCATTGAGCACCAGTGTCTCCTGGCACTTCTGTAGGTGCTTGGGTTATAATAGTTAACAGAAGCCTTTCCTTCCTGGACCTTAATTTTAACGGATTATTATACGTATACAGAGCGTAAATGTATAATATATATAATTTATGCAAACATTAATTTTAAGATTATTATACATACACAGAACTTGTAAATATATTATATATAATTTATGCAAGCATTAATTTTAAGATTATTATACATATACAGAACTTGTAAATATATACTATATATAATTTATGCAAACATGAATAGCTTGCATTTAGTTTACAGAAATAATTATGTATTATGTGTGTACACATATTTGTAATTTACACATTGTGATAAATGATAAGGGACAATATACACGGGTTAAAGGTTTCCGTGAGTGGCACAGGCTCCAGTCATGAATTTAATTACGGTCATCAGAATAGGTTTCATTGAGAGGGTGCAATTTGATTAAAAAAGGAAATGTGGCTAATCACATGCCCTGACTGAAACCGAAGTGTCAACAGACTCTGTTTACTAGACAGCAGACAGTGATAAAAATGACATTTGGGTTATTTTTTATTTGCAAACATTAGCAATACCACGTTGGGAAGTCTAAGTCCATCAGGAATCAAACTGATGGCTGTTTTTTAAAATATCTTTCTTAACCGAAATGCCCAGTAAATGTTAACAGCATAAAATTCAAGAATACTGTTCACTCTCTGGGGGAGAAACTGGTGGGGCCACTAGGTGAAGGTAGCTCACATACAAAGGGTGGGAGATGAATATTTAACTCTGCCCGTGTCCTGCAGTAATTATGAATTAGAGGTAGCTTTGGTTTTATGTCTGCATTTGTTGCTCTTTTTTTGATGACCTGTTGACCTGTGGTTGAATTTCTCATAATTCTAGATTATGGGGCAGTTTTCTGAGTTTCGGTCAGTTAGTTTTCTGATTTTGTACCAGCAAGGCGGCACCATTGGATTCATCTCGAACGAGTGATCTGATTCTTCGGCGTCATGCAGAGTGAGGCTGGATGTATCGATACTGGAGAACACAGAGAGTAAGGAAGGCCATATGCCCATTCACCAGCAGTAAATGACTGATCATTGCTATGTTTTCAGCCTAGTGGTTTGTTCTGTGCCCAGGGTTTTCACTGGACTGTTCACGCAGTGCGATGTTATGAATAGGAATTTAACTTGGTTTCCTTTTCTGTCGAAGGCTGACTTTAGGCTTCTTTTGTTAGTGTTTTTATTTATTTATTTTTTTTTTAAGATTTATTTTTTTATTTATTTATACAAGCACTGGGTACAGTCAGAAGCGCGGGAGGGTGAGAGAATTCACCAGAGCAGAGCGGGGAGCAGAACAGGCAGACTGACGAAGTACACTGCTGAGGGGAGCAGCAGGCGGCAGGAGAGGTCTGAGCGCCATGCGGGACCCTCGCTGGCGGCCGGGGATCGAACTGCTGCTGCAGAGGCTGCTCGCAGCCCAGCGCTCAACTGCTGCGCCACCGGGGAGGCCCTTGTTAGTATTTTTAATATGCTTTTGATATGCTGAAAGTCTCCCCAAAAGAGAATTACATATTACACTTTAGTATAGCTCAGTTTACTTGCTTGTTGGCTATTAGTGGGAATTCCCGGACCTTGTTTTGCTTCTTGATAGAGAAGGAAGGAGTCAGAGGTGTTCTGAATGCCAGAGAATGGCCGAGCCCTAGTCCTCAGGTTTGCCCTTTGACTGAGGTGAGGCTGCAGTCAGTCACCCTCTCCACAGGAACGGCAATGCCAGGTGGGAAGTGGCCAGCCCTTTTCTCCACTTTTTAGAAGGCAGCATTTTGAAATAAGCTTACTGTTGAAAATCTCGCTCATTTTGGAAAGGAAACCTGCATGTCTAAATCGGAATTCGCTCCTCTTTAGAAAGTGGTTATGATGGTTTGTTTTGTGTGTGTAGAGAGGTGGAATTTGTGTTGTAAGTCAGATCATTACTTGGTTTTTAGAAACAAGGAATTTTGAGTCTAGAATAATCACTTCACTCTTTGTGAGGTCTGAACTCAGATGTTTCCAGTTTCCAGGAAACAGTCCAAGGCAGTTCTAGGATGAGTAAGGAAGAATATAGGGGGCACTTGGGCCTCCCCGGTGGCGCAGCGGTTGAGCGCTGGGTTGCGAAGCTGCCCGCAGCCTCTGCGGCGCCGGTTCGATCCCCGGCTGCTCCCCGGCCACCGGAGGAGGGTCCCACATGGCGCGCTGACCTCTCCCGCTGCTCCCCCCAGCAGTGTACTTCGGTCCTTCTGCCTGCTCTGCTCCCCGCTCTGGCTCTGGAGAATCCTCTCGCCCTCCCGCGCTTCTGACTGTACCCAGTGCTTGTATAAAGAAATAAATAAGTCTCAAAAAAAAAAGAATATAGGGGGCACTTGAGAGGTGCGTTCTTTTATTCGTTCACTTATTCGCCCACCCTGTGTCTCAAACCAGGTCTGCTCTGTGTCAGGCATTCGGGGTCTCGTTTCGTGAAGTCCAGTTTCTGTCCCAGGACTGGAAATATGGACTGGAAAAAAGAGGTACCCAATTCCAGCGAGCTTATCGATGTGAAAAGGGAAGACTAGGTAAAGAAGAGAAAGGAGTTGATCTCAAATTTTCTTCCTGACAGTCTCATCGTGCAGATCTTAGAAGTCGTGCAGGTGAATCTGAAAAATTAATTCTGACCTGCAGTGTGCCAGGCCCTCTGATAATGCTAATGGCAAAAAAATAACTAAAAGCTCTTGATCTAGTAGGTGATACAGACAGGGAAATAGTGTGGTCAGTGCCATGCAGGAGCTGTGTGTGCTGGACTAGAACACTGATAGAGCAGCAGTCACGTTTTCTCCCCACCCCAGGCCTGGGTGGAGACAGCAGAGGGAACCATACAGTGTAGCATGTGTGTCCAGAACTTCATGGGTGCTTTGCAAGTTGTCAAGATATTAAAAGACAAGTAAAAGCAATACTTAAAATTCACCAGTTGAGAAAGGAGGGCAAACCACGCTGAAGGATGGCGTATCAAGATATGAAAGTGCAGGAAACAGCCTAGGCGGCTAGAAAGACAGGAAAGGCTAGGTGTGGGCTCAAAGCTTTGTTTTGCCAAGAACCTTATACTGTAGGCTGTTGGTTTTTTGGATCTAAGGGCCCATTTTTACCATTAAGCACAGACATACAGTAGTCATTACATTTTAAATTTTGTTAGTCTGCATACTGCTTGGTACAATGAGTGATGATTCAGTCTCTTGCACTTACCTTGATGCTCACAGCCGCTGACTCTTTCCAAGTTGCCTGTAGGTTGGGCATCACTGCTGTGGGCTTAGGGAGAAGCATGGGCTCAGAAGGGCCCTGTCCATGCCTTGCTTTTGCTTACTTGCAACTTCCTTTAAGAGCCTCTAGTAGTGAAGGATTAAGAGTAGCAGTTGATTAACTGAAGTGTCTTTCTGGTCACCTAGGAAACCTCTTGAGCAAATCTTTAAACTTGTTAGTAGGTGACAGGTCTACCGCTCCTGTACAACATATGGCATGTGGGGAAAAAAGCAAGATTTTCATAGCTTTGTTTGCTAGATTTAAATGAAAGTTATTTTATATTTTGCCTCTTTATTTTTCCTTTGCTTTCAAAATGTTTTTTTTAGTTTCAGTATGATAATAAGGAGCTATTCTATTTAAATGACCTTTCTTGAAATAATGAGAAATTGGCATTGTGCTTGTTCCAAATTTTTCTTAAAACTTAGTAGTTGATGAAATAAATTAGGTCATGCTTTCTTATGCTACCTTCTTCAAATGACTGCCTTGAAACAAGTTTACAAAATGAGTTGGATGTGTGGCTAAATAGAAATTCATAGAAACTACAATATACAAAGTGTTAGAGCACATCTCTCTAAAGGTAGACTTTTGGGAAGACATCCCAAGAAAAGAAAGCAAAAAACCAGTATTTATTATGTGTAAAAATACAGTAATCCTAGCAAACCAAATCCAGCAATATATAAAAAGGAGTGGACAATATAACTAAACAGGCTTTTGTTCCAGGAACATCATGTTCACTTATATCTGAAAATCAATTCATATAATGCACATATTAATAAAAGAGAGAAACTACGTGGTCATCTTAAAGGGAAAAAATTTGATAAAATTCAATACCCTTTCATGATTCAAAACAAAATGTGTCCCTAGCTAATTAAAAACAGGAGGATACTGCCTCACCTGTTAAAGGGTATCTGAAAAATGTGTGGCTGATATATTTAAATAGCAAAAGACAGAATGCTTTCTTGTTAAAGTCAGGATTAAGGATATCTGTTCTCACCACTTCATTCAACACTATACTAGAAGTTCTAGCCAGAGCAAACAGGCAAGAAGATGAAAAGGTGTTCAGATTGAAAAAGAAGAATTAAAACTGTCACTGTTCAGGTGACATGAACTTGCATATAGAAAACCCTGAGGAATTCATACAAATGATAAGAGCTAATATGTTCAGTGAGATCACCGAATTGATAAACTGATCTAAAGTACATATGGAAATGCAAGGGACTTAGAAAGCCAAAACAATGTAGAAAAAGAACAAAGTTGGCAGACTCCCATCCTAAAAGTCAAAATTTACATCAGAGCTACAGATAATCAAGAAAATGTGGCACTGCCATAAGGGCAGACAGGCTAGAATGGGAAACCGGAGCTAAGGCTTCACATTTATAGTCAACTGATTTATTTTTTTGAAGATTTATTTATTTATGCATACAAGAACTGGGGTACAGGCCAGAGGTGCGGGGGTGGTGGTGAGAGGATTCACCAGAGACAGTGGGGAGCAGAACAGGCAGGTGTGCTGAAACACTGCTGAGGGGAGCAGCGGACAAGGCAGGAGAGGTCTGCTGAGCCATGTGGGTTGCTCCCTGGCCCACCTGGGGATCGAACTAGTGCTGCAGGGGCTGGCAGTAGCTTGATAACACTGTCTTTAACCCCAGCGCCACCAAGGAGTCCCCTATAGTCAACTAATTTTTGATGAGTTACATGACAGTTTAATGGAGAAAAATAGTGCTGGGACAGCTGGTCATCCATGCACAAAAAAATTGAAGTTGAGCCCCCATTTCATAGCATATACAAGAATTAACTCTAGTGATTCAAAGACTTCAATGTAAAAGCCAAAGCATATGTCATTGTGTACTTCAATTAGATATGACACCAAAAGCACAAGGAGCAAGAGAGAATATAAACTGAAGTTCACTAAAATTAAAAACTTTTGTGCTTCAAAAGCTACCATCAAGAAAGTAAAAGAGGGCCTCCCTGGTGGCACAAGGGGTTAAGATGCAACCTATGTAGCTCGTCACAGCCAATGCAGCATGAGTTTGATCCCTGGCCAGGGAGCCACCCACATGGCACAGCAGATCTCTCCTGACTCGCCCGCTGCTCCCCTCAACAGTGTATTTCAGTCAGGCTGCCTGTTCTGTTCCCCACTCTGTCGCTGGTGAACCCTCTCACCCCTCTCAACTCTGGCCTGTACCCCAGTTCTTGTATGCATAAATAAATAAAATCTTTGAAAGAAAAGAAAGTAAAAGAAACCCAAGAATGTTAGAGAATATTTCCAAGTCATGTCTATGATAAGGGAATTATCTAGACTATATAAAGCACTTTTATAACTCAGCAATAAAAAAGATAACCCAGTTTTTAAATGGGCAGAGGATCTGAATAGATGGTTCTCCAAAGAAGATATGCAGCTGGCCAATAAGCATATGAAAAGCTGGTCACCATCTTTAGCCATCAGGGAAATGCAAATCAAAACTGCAGTGAAATACCACTTAACACCCATTAGGATAGAAAAGATAATAACCAGTGTTGTTATGGATGTGGAGAAACTGAAACCTTCATATACTGCTCTTGGGAATGTAAAACCGTGCAGGCACTTTGGAAGGCTTCATCTCCAAGAGTTAACATGGAGTTACAGTAGGATGCAGCAGTCCCACTCCTAGGGGTGTACCCAAGAGAATTGAAAACGTGTTCACACAAAAACATATACATGAATGTTCGTAGGAGCAGCATTCATATAGGTAAATGTGGCAACACCGCAAGTGTCCTTCAGCTGATGAACAGGTCAAAAAAAAAATGGCATGTCCATACAATGGAATGTTGTTTGGCAATAAAAAGAAATAAAGTACTGACATGTATAGAAAGATGATGAACCCTGAAAACATCACTCCGAGTGAAAGAAGCCAGACAAAACATCACAGGTCTTGTGATACTGTTCCTATGAAATGTCCCAGGTAGGCGACTCCACAGATACTGCAAGTCGGGGCCTCCCTGGTGGTGCGGGGAGTTAAGTCACAGCACTGTGAAGCTGTCCACAGCCACTGAAGCATGAGTTCCATCCCAGGCCAGGGAGGGGACCCACATGGCGCGGCAGACCTCTCCTGCTCCCCTCAGCAGTGTATTTCAGTAAAATCCACCTGTCCTGTTCCCCGCTCTGTCTCTGGTGAATCCTCTCACCCTCCCCCCAGCATCTGGCCCCGTACCCCAGTTCTTCTATGCATGAATAAATAAATCTTTAAAAAGGAGAGAGAGATTGCAAGTAGATCAGCAGTTGTCTGGGGGTGGTGGACTAGGGAGATTAAGGAGTGATAGCTAACAGGGATGAGTCCGCTTTGGGGTGGTGAAATGTTCTAAAGTTGATTGTGGGGATGGTTGTACAACTCTGTTCTAAATGAAATGACACACTTGCGGTGGGTGAGTTGTAGGCTATGTGAATTAGACCTCAACAAAGCTGTTGTAAAAAAAAAAAATAGGTTGGGGGGGGTATGTCATATTTTTTTCATGGTGCTAAGTTGTTTTTTTCTGCCATTAGATTTGGTTTTGAACATTATTGTCCTTTGCATTTCTAGAGCTGAGCCTCTCTACTGGGTGCTTGCAGCTGGAGCACAAAAGGAAAGAGTTCACCGCCTCTGGGAGCAGGAAGCTCTACTTTGACACCCATGCCTTGGTGTGCTTACTTGAGGAAAACGGTAATCCCCACTCATTGGTCATTCCCTGCCTTAAAAGAGAACAATAAATTACGAGTTCTGTCATGATGAGATTTCATCTAATTTCTCCTCTTTCTGACTTTTAAGTCTGCGAATAACCTTCTGAATAATCTGGTTTTTTCATTCCCTTGTTTTTTCTTTAAGGAAATGTTTGCTTCATCAGTACAATGGAGATGTTTTTCACACATTTCCTCTTCGTTCCAATCAAGTGTATTTTTATAACATCACTGTGGATATATAGTGTCGTAGGTAAAAACTCAGGTCAGCAAAACTCAGGATTGTTTTCTGTAACAACTGTGTGAAGCACAAAAATAATGTTATTGCTCTGCATCTTGGTTTTAAATTTTTTTGTGGAATTAAAATGTAGGTAGTTGAGCAGCAATTAAGATGCTTTCACCTTATTCTTTGTTTTTTAATATTCAGACTAAAATTTCCAGACTAACATTTTTAATATTCAGACTAATATTAGTTCCTCATGGTCAGAAGAATTCCAAGGATCCTTTTGAGTATTCAGTGAAATAATTTACTTGAATGCACTTTGGGAGAACTGTCAAATGCTGCATAATAATTTCTACAGTTTCTCAAACTTGATTTTTAGCGAGAACTTAAAAGGGGAAGATGTAAGAGGAAGGGCATCTAAAATTATGTTGAGAAGCAGAAGTCTTTCTGCTTTGCTTTTTCTTTTTACTTTCTCTCTCTCTCTCTCTTTCTCTCTCTCTCTCTCTCTCCCTGTGTGTGTGTGTGTGTGTGTGTGTGTATGTGTACCTAGTGTTCTTATATTCAAAGAAGTCAATTGTAGAAAGACATTGAAGCTAAGGGGGGCATTTCTACATGATATTAAGGAAACATCCTTAATTTGCTAAGTGTGACAGCATGGAGGTGGCTGTAGTAAACTCAGTGGCCTCAAGCCTTCCTCTCATGAAGAGGTGGAGTTTATTTCCCTTCTCCCCCCCCCCCAAAGTGTTATCTATTTTGACAAAAATTGTACACATTTAAAAGATCAAATGCACTATTTTGATATGTGCACTTTCTGCTTTTCTTGATTTCAAACCTTGACCCAAGAGGGTGTGAAGGTGCTTACTCAGGCTGATGGTGATAATGTGGGGTATCTAAGATGACTAGGTTGGCATGAGGTCAGGCAGGATGAGGTCCAGAGCTGTGTTTCCTAACAAAACTCCCCATGTGTCTATAATCTCACTCACCCTGATTGTGTCTTGTTCTCTCATTCCAACAAAAACTAATTTGTATCTGGTAACTCAGTAGGTTTTCATGTTTAACGTCAGTTTTTTATTATCCCTTTTTCCTACCATTGGGGGTTTTAGGTTTTCAGACTTTGGAGTTTATCACCAGTGTTAAGTTCTCTTTTTGTTTCTGTTTTTCTTAGTTCTGCGTCTTAACCCCTGTGCCACCAGGAAGGCCCATGTTTCTCTTATTCTCTTCTTCATAATTGCCAGACCAAATTATGTTTAACTATGAATTCTTCTTATTAAAGTATTAAAACATACAGATGTTCACTTTCAAAAAATTAGGAGGACAGAAAAGAAACAAGAGAAACTATTCCGTATTCCAGTTCCCCAGAGCTACACAACACCATCATGTTAGTGGGTAAATTTTGGAATGGTTTTCTTGATGAGCATTGCCCACACATTGAAAATGAAAGGACTTTGAGTAAAGTGGAAGGAATAGGTCTTTGAAGGTCTTTTTTTTTGGTCTCTTTAAGTATATTTTTTTTTTAAGATTTTTATTTATTTGTTTATACAAGCACTGGGTACAGTCAGAAGTCCTCGTGTTACATGGGGGCACACGCTCAACCCAGGACTCTAGTCTCCTTACCCTCTGCTCACTAGGCGCTCCTTCTGCTTCTGAATTCACACATTCACCTGAATATGTTTCTCCATGGACATTTTTTTTTTCTGACATCTAGAATTCCTGAGTGTGATTATCTTTATGTGTCTGCTCAGGGTTTACTACTCAACAAGCAGAAATCATTGTGTCTGCCCTGGTCAAGATCATGGATGCCAATATGGATATTGTCTACAAAGATATGGTCACCAAGATGCAGCAGGTGAGTTTTGTCAGCCACCTGAGCAAATAAGAAAGCTGAAGGTGGCATTATTTGTATATTATATTTTCAGATAATTTTCTGTTGAAAAGTAGTTAGTGACTTTAGCCATAATTGAGAGGCAAGTGATTACAGTGTCATTAAAAAATATATATTTTTTCAAAGCTATTTAGTGGACTTACAGAATGGTGCTATAAAGTCACTTTACTTGAGAACTGTTCCAGTCAAACACACATTAATAACGGCGATGTGGGCAGAATTACAGTGCTGGGTTCTTCAGCTTGGACTGCCCCCCTCTTGACTGTGGTTTACGTGATGATGATACTGGACTTGTGTTTTTTCTTTTCCTTTCCTCATTTTGTGATTTTTTTTAAAGATTTATTTATTTATATAAGAACTGGGGTACAGTCAGAAGTGCAGGAGGGTGAGAGGAGTCACCAGAGACAAAGCGGGAAGCAGAACAGGCAGAAGGACCAAAACACACTGCTGAGGGGAGCAGTGGGCGAGACAGGAGAGGTCCACCACACCATGTGGGTTTCTCCCTGGCCGGCCGGGAATCGAACCTGCACTGCCGAGGCTGCAGACAGCTTCACAGCATGGTGCTCAACCCGCTGCACCACCGGGAAGGCCCTGTAATTTTTTTTTTTTTTTTGAGCCTCTTTTCTGATGCTCATGTTCTTCTAATCTCTTATTAAGATGATATTTGATGGGGGATGGACTTTTTTTTTTTTAAAGATTTATTTATTTATGCATGAAAGAACTGGGGTACAGGCCAGAGATGTGGGGGGGGGGTGAGAGGACTCACCAGAGACAGCGGAGAACAGAACAGGCAGACTGACTGAAATACACTGCGGAGGGGGGCAGCGGGTGAGACAGGAGAGGTCTGCTGCGTCATGTGGGTTGCTCCCTGGCCGGCTGGGGATTGAACTCGTGCTGCAGAGGCTGTGGATTCCTTCATAGTACGGTGCTTAACCCCTTGCACCACCAGGGAGGCCTGGGAGATGGACCTTGTAGACTAGACTAGATTATATGTTTTGTTTTTCTTTTCCTAGGAGATCACTCTTCAGCAAATAATGTCTCAAATTTCTAATGTGAAAAAGGATATGATTATTTTGGAAAAGAGTGAATTTTCAATGCTCAGAGCAGAAAATGAGGTAAAATTAGAATTGTTCATATTTACAAACTACTTTATATTAAGGTACTGAAATATATAGACACATAAAAGTACACAAGTGTACATTTTGATGAATTTTCACAAGGCGTCCTTCTCATGCCCCCCTGTAGTCACTCCTCCCACAGAGGAAGCCATATTGCCTTTGACTAGTTCAGCCTATTCCAGAACTTTATCTGATGGAATCATATGGTGTGTCCCGCAGTGTACGTCATTCTTTTTCATTGGCTAAACAGCATTATATGAATATGCCACATTATTTTATGCTTACTTTTGTTAGAAGTGTTTCCAGTTTTGGGTTATTATGAATAAGTGTTGCTATAAAATATCCCATAGTTTCTCAAAGCATGTCCTATGGGATCAGTGTTTAAAGAAATGCTCTCTTTGTATTTGCCTTTTGTTTCAGTCCTATTTAAAGTTCATAAGGGAAATGCAATTATTACCTTTTGATCTTAACCTTGCCCTTAAAGCTAAGGCAGAATTAGTTAAAAGAAAGTTTGAAGGATGTATTAAAGGATGCAGCTTCTCTGAAAGCAAATGCATATGTTAAAAACACTTGTGTTACCATTTTTTGTAACCTTAGTGATGAATCATAACAGATCTGAGGATATACATGTGGTCATAGTACTATCCTGTCTCGACAAATAATCTTTTCTGCTACTGAAACTGTTCCATTAATACTATATTCTTAATGCAGACACTTTCCTGTGGAACGTGGGGGGGATTTGTGCATTAGTAATGTTTTCATATTTGTTAATTACTAAGCTTTATATTTTTATTCAACAGTCTAAACATATCCTTGGCTTATTTCTTTTTAATGTGTTTTTCAGAAAATGAAACTTGAGCTGCATCAGTTAAAACAACAAGTAATGGTAAGATCACCATCCTGTTTATTGGTTTATTTTATGTAATTACATGAGCTTATTAATAATAAATATAAGAAATATTTTATGTCCTTAAAAACATAATTCCATATTAAATGTGTATGTAATATGTTTCAAAAGTACAAATTAGAAGATTTAGCTAAAAACACAGCCAATGAATAATTTCTGATGCCTACACCCAAATTCATTAGGGAAATTGTGTTCTGGGAAGAATTAAGGCATCTTTTTTTTTTTTTTAATAGAGGCATGTTTTATTTATTTATTTATTTTGTTTATATATGCACTGGGTCCAGTCAGAAGCGCGGGAGGGTGAGAGAATTCACCAGAGCCAGAGCGGGGAGCAGAGCAGGCAGAAGGACCAAAGGACACTGCTGAGGGGAGCAGCGGGCGGCAGGAGAGGTCTGCGTACCATCTGGGACCCTCCTCCGGTGGCAGGGGAGCAGCCAGGGATCGAACCGGCACCCGCAGAGGCTGCAGGCAGCTTCGCAACCCAGCGCTCAACCGCTGCGCCACCAGGGAGGCCCCAGGGCATCTTAAAGTGAAAGTTTTTTAAAGTGGTATTGTGGATTCTCTTAGAATACGTTATCTTTAGCTAATTACCTGTGGTTTTAAAATGTTTACTATGTTGGGTGTTTGATTACTTTTGAAGTGGAAGGGATAATGATATTACAGAAGATGTTTATATGATTGTCAGGAAGAAAGCTTTATTTAAACCACTATTAATGTTTTACTTCACTGAGACCATCTCTGCTTTCCAAAGTTGTCCAAGAAACAACTTTATTCATAAATGTCACAAGGAAATTATATTGAGAATCCTGAGGTCAAAAGCAACGATAACTCTTTAGAAATGGATTTGTAGCCATAGCTGCGTATGTCCCGAGGCAGGACTGACTCCAGATGTAGCTTGACCAGTGTCTCAGCATCATCAGTCGCTGTCCCCCCTTTGTCTACAAGCCCCTGTGTCTGCCCTTCCTCTCTGCTGCCTGTGGAGACACAATCGCAGGTTTCACATCTTCAGGGGTTTAGATTTCTTACTTTTGATTTCTTTCTCTCTTTTTTGTTTGCCCTTCTAGGATGAAGTGCTCAAAGTCCGAACAGATACCAAGTTAGACTTCAATCTAGAAAAGAGCAGAGTAAAAGAATTGGTATGTTCTTTTATTAAAAATAGAAAACTATTTTCTTCACAGGATGGAATGTTTGATGAAGTTGCCATTTATATGCGAGTACTGTACCATATTTACCTGTGTATCAGTGTTAGACACAACTGCTTCTTTTTTTAATTATGTTTTGGATTCGGGCTTAAATTTTAAACTTTCGAAAGTAACGTGAAAATTAAAATCTGGGTCAAGTCAAGTTTGAATCATCTTTATTTCCAAGATGCTAAATTATGTGTCCTTAGACATTAACAAAGAAATTGAATTCAATCTTGCTTTATTTAATGGTGACTTAAGCCTCCAGCTATCTTGATTTTATAAAAGTTCAATTGATTATCTGGCTTGAATAATATTAGATTATTAATTTCAAGATCTATACTGAAATTTAAGATTAAAATATATTCTCATAGTCTTTAAAAAAAATTTTAAACATTTATTTTTATTTATTTACGCATACAAGAACTGGGGGGTAGGTCAGAGGTGCGGGGGGGTGAGAGGATTCACCAGAGACAGAGTTGGGGAGCAGAACAAGCAGATGTACTGAAATACACTGCTGAGGAGAGCAGCGGTGAGACAGGAGAGGTCTACTACAGAGATCTGCTGTACCATGTGGGTCAGCTCCCTGGCCAGGGATCGAATTCCTGCTGCAGTGTCTGTGGATAGCTTGATAGTGCTGAGACTTAACCCCTGCACCACCAGGGAGGCCCTCATAGTCTTTTTTTAATAGAGAAATCATAATGACTTTATTGCATTGTTTCAAAATGCAAATTCTCAATAATTCTGTAAGTTAGGCTAAATTGAAATTTCAAATAAAATAGTGCTCTACATGTTACCAAAAAGAGGTGACAAAATGTGGGCTGTAAATAATCAAGCTGATGGAGATAGATGCTCTGCAGCTCTGTGTGCAGGTTCACACTCAGGATCTGAGGACAGCTCTGCTGTCTTCGCCTTTTCAAAAGTAATGCCTATAAATACATTTTTTTTCATACGAACGTTTCTTTGTTTTCTTAAATTTTGTTTTTTATGGCATTGAGATATGACATATGTAACATTATACTAGCTCAGGTGTGCAGCACGTGATATTTCTATGCATTACAAAATGACCCCCAGCCTAGTCAGGCCTGTCATCATACGTAGATACAGTTGTTTTTTTCTTGTGATGAGAATGCTTAAGATCTGCTCTGCAGCTTTCAAATATGCAGTACTGTATCAACTGTAGCCACAATCCTGTACATTACACTCCATGGCTTATTTATTATATCACTGGAAATCTGTACCTTTTGATCCTCATCACTTTCTCCTTCACTTCCCCCTGCCCCCAACCTTTGGCAACCACCAATTTGTTCTCTTTATCTATGCACTCAGGGAGCTTTTTTTCCCCCTTTTTTAAAGAATCACATGTAAGTGAGACTGCACCGTATTTGTCTTTTCTCTCTGACTTATTTAACTTACCATAGTGCCCTCAAGTGCCGTCCATGTTGTTGTAAGACAAAATTTCCACCTTTTCTAGGACTAGGTAATACTCTGTTGTGTATATAGGACATTTTCTTTATCCTTGCATCCATCAGTGGACATGTGGGTTGCTTCTGTGTGTTGGCTGTTTTAAACAATGCTGCAGTGAAAGTGAGGGTGACAAATGCCGAAAAATAGATGACTGGATCAACAAAATACTGTATATATACAGAATGGAATACTATTCGGCAATCAAAAAAGATAAATTCATGCCATTCACAGCAACATGGATGGAACTGGGAGGGATTATGCTTAGTGAAATAAGCAAGAAAGAAAAAGAAAAATAGGGGGCCTCCCTGGTGGCATAAGGAGTTAAGCATCAGCACTAGGAAGTAATCCACAGCTACCGTAGCACGAGTTTGATCCGCCACCAGGGAGCTGACCCACATGGTACAGCAGACCTCTCCTATTTCAGCTGCTTCTCCCCTCAGCAGTGTACTTCGGTCTATCCGCCTGGTCTGCTCCCCATTCTGTCTCTGGTGAATCCTCTCACCTCCCGCACCTCTAGCCTGTACCCCAGTTCTTGTATGCATAAATAAATCTTAAAAAAAAAAAAGAAAAAGAAAAATATTGGATGATTTCGCTCATAGGAGGAATGTAGGGGAACCAATTAAGGGATCAGGAAAAAAATAATTATAATAAATAAAAAAACAAAATTAACAGGCATCTGTTAATCAGAGACACTCTGCGGAGAAGGGAAGAGGATCAAAACGGGAGGGAAGAGCACAAGAGACAATGGTGATGGTGCACAGGGGAATTGGTGGTGGGAATTTTATGGGGACTCCACCTGAGAGGTGTACAAAGCATGCCTTGTACAAAAAGGAAAAATGATGTAAAACATATATATATATATATAATTAATGATAAAAATAAATAAGAAAGTAGGGGTGAAATAAGCTGAAAGTGTTAATAAAGATATGTGTTGGGTTGCGATTTTTAGCCCATCTGTCTTTTTGTTTACACCTTATTTGAATTTGATAACATTAGATGCCCTTTTTATTCTCATCATAATGAAAAATAGGGCATAGAAGGTGTTTTCCTAACACAGAGCTGGATACATGTCCAGACAGTGAGTACTCAAAATTATTCATTGTTTTCTCATTTTTCATAATTTGCTTTTAACCAAAATGTACTACAATGATAAATGAACCTAGTCTGGAAATTCAGACATACTTAACTATATTTAGAAATTGCCTCTGGATTTCAAGAGTTAAGTTGAGCTTCATTGTACAAAGTAATTGTTATGCCTATGTTACCTGTCTTTCTAATCTAAAAATATTTTTCAGACATGAGGACCAAATCACCTAGTATCTGAAAAATACTTAGTGATCACTAGCATATGACTGGTATCTCAAAGAAGAGAATCTCTTTTGACTACTTTTGCCCTAACTGGTTGAGTCCTTAGCAAAAATTCTGAATCTATCTGATTGATAAGGAAACCTCTAACTAACTATTCTCCTATATCATAGGAGATTGGGAAATATGGGGTGTCATCAAGGATTAAAACCAGTGAATTTCCTAACCTAGCTGAGAAGTTGATCTTGGTAATCCTAAGCTTAGATCACTATGAAGCGCAGAACAATGGTATATTAATATGCTGTTGTCCTATACTTCAGAGTAACTTCAGCAATGACCATGTGTAGAGATGAGTTATTGAACTTCTCATTTTTGGTTAATAAAATTAATAATTTGGTTAATAAAATTATTGTTCAGTTCAATGAACTGTGGTGATATAGCCAGTTTCAAAAGCAGTATGACCTATAAACTTCTTTAGGGAAGACAGAGCCTTGGAGATATTATTTTTAAAATAATGACAATGTCAAGATTTAGGCTCTTGTGACTGAGTCAGTACAGTTAGAGACTGGAGTTTAAAAGGTGTGCAGAAAATCCAGCCCTGCCCTCTAGTGGCGATATGATGCATGGCTCTCTCCTTGTCTGGAACCCTGACTTAAAAGACAGAATGAAATTTATTTTTTGGTCTTGCAACTAGATTTTAATTGGGGGGTCGAGATTTTCTTTTTTATTATTATTATTATTATTATCTCTAAGCAGTGACTTTTTTTGATACTATCCCCCCTAGTAGTCCCAGGAGGACGTCTTATACCTAGAAAGCTTCTAAATACTTCCAAAATCCCCTGTGCTCTTCTTTTTGCCCTTATTTTGATCCCTTTCCCTCCCCCATCACTGCACAATGTCACTGACTTATAGTTGTCTGTTTATTTTTATTGTGCTTTTTTATTGTTACAATTTTTCCCTGACCCCTTATTTGGTTCCCCTACATTCCTCCTATAAGTGAAACCACCCAGTATTTTTTCTTTTTCCTTCTGACTTATTTCATTGAGCATAATCCCTTCTAGCTCCATCCATGTTGTTGCAAGTGGCATGAGATTTTCTTTTTTGATTGCTGAATAGTATTCCATTGTGCAGATAAGCCACATCTTCTTGATCCAGTCATCTATTTTTGGGCATGTGGGTTGTTTCCAAGTCTTACTTATTATAAATACTGCTGCAATAAACATAGGGGTAGAGGTATTCTTTTGAATTAATGTTTTTGTGTCCTTTGGGTAGATCCCTAGGAGTGGAATTGCTGGTGATGGTACATGGGTGAATTGGTGGTGGAAATTCTATGGGGACTACATCTGAGGAAAGAAAGCAAGCATTGTGGAAAAAAATGAACATTGATGTAAAATATATAAAAATAAATGAATTATTTAAATAGATACTTCCAAAAGCATTTGTTTTTCGCCTATAACAATGTTAATTTAATGAATTCTTAACTATTCATTTAAATATAGATTTGCATTTGTTCACTTAAATCCTAATGCTCACTGCTAAGGAGATATGTCTGATTTTGATTTCAGTGTCAACAAAATTGCACTAAATCTTTGCTTAGACATAAAAAACAAAGATCAGTTCCTTAATAATGCTCCGTTGTGACTACAACCAAGTGTTTTGTTTTTAATTGAAACCAGTATAATGGCTTTGTGTGTTAGATCTGTATTTTCCTTGTGTTTTCTAATCACAAGGCAACGTCTGTGTCACAAAATACTACTTCTTGAGACTATTTTTCTGAACTTTATCTTTTGTCTAAGCCTCAAGTTGTGACCAGATTCATTTGTTATTATGCAGGAACAGCCCTTAAATTGAATCCTTCCCAACTTTTTCCAGTACTCTCAAAACCAAAAGGCTCAGTATCCATCTAAATTGGTCCCACAAATGCCACTAGAATAGTGTGCTGGATAGAGACAGCACAGTAAAAAGCTGAAAAGAGAAAAACATAGCAGAGAGAGGTGAAAAATGACAAAAGGGAGCTCAGATATTGGAGTGATGAGTGATTACAAATAAGAAACCTCAAGAGCAGATCTGAAAGAGCGGAGCAAGCAGGCTACTTTATCTCAAAGGTGATGACTAGGGGAATCCAAGAAACCTTGGGGATTACTAAGACCAGCATATTTTAAGGAGAAATCAAAAGGAATACATTAGAATCTCTGAACTATGTTGCATGTTTTTTCCAGTATTCATTGAATGAAAGGAAGCTTCTGGAAATGAAGACAGAAATGGTGGCATTGGTAAGAAATGAGACTGACTTCTTGATCTAAAATTACTCACCTTTGTTTCATGTCAGGCGTGGTTACTGTCACTTGTAATTATGTAATGTTGCAGGAAAACATGCAGGTTTGGTGTCAGGGATTTTTGGGTTTTTGTGGGGTTTTTAAACAGTAAAATACACATAAAAATGGCCATCTTAGCCATTTTTAAGTTGAATGGCACATTCACATTATTGTGCTACTATCACTACCATCTATCCAAAGAGTTCTTTTTCATCTTGCAGAATTGAAACTACCCATTAAATACTACTAGCTCCCTATCCCCCAGCCCCCAGTTGGTAGTTACAGACATTCTGCTTTCTCCTTCTATGGTTTTGACTATTCTGAGTACCTCAAATAAATGAAATCATTTTGTATTTGTCCTTTTGTGACTGGCTTACTATCCCGAGCATAGTGTCCTCAAGGTTTATACTTGTAATGTGTAAGATACATTCTATTGTATGAATATATACCATATCTTGATTATCAGAGGACACTTGTGTTGCTTCTGTCTTGTGGTCATTTGTATATTGAGTAATTTGTAATGCCATAAGAACATGGCCATACAAGTATCTGTTGGACTTTGTGTCTTCATTTCTTTTGGCTATATGCCCAAAAGTGGGATATCTTCGGGTTTTTTATTTTATTTTAATTTATGGCATGCATTCTTTTCAATCCTGTAATACATAGAATCTATGCAATCTACAAGAGACTTCCATGGTAAGAATACTGAAATATTCTGCTAGAGTATTTTTCTATTCATCTAGGCATTTATTTCCTTATTGATTAACTGATTATTAGTCCTAGGGAACTAGCTACTCGCCTTAGGAAAGTTTTGGTGAAGTTGCTGCAGTGTTTTTGTGCATTGATGAAATATTACAACCCATTTATACCATCACCCAAACTCACCACCTTTACAGGTAGATTATATGTCTAGTTTAACTGTGTTATACTTGGGAAACAACACAAGTAGGCCTTTGGTATACACAAGTCTCATAATAATAATAAACACTCTGCATTTGAAATATAAAAGAAGAAAACTTTTATAACTGTGAGTAGAAATAGTGTCAAGCAAGGACTGTTGCTTTTAGATTATCCAAGATCCCATTTTTTAAAGTATTTCTATAGTCTTCTCATTAGGAGGAACATATGAAAGGGTGAGACATATTCATTGCCATTGAGAACAGACGGGCTTCATAACACCCCCCCTTATTTTAGAGTCATTTGTGATTGACAAAAGCTTTTTAATGCACGTTTTCATGTTTAAATTTCTGAACATCCCGTGCGAGCAAAATATACTCTTGAAAAGTACTTTGGGATAAAATTAAGTTTTCGATATCTAAGTGTTCCTTGAATACTATTTAAATTTTATTTCAGAAAGCAAAAAGTAGTTGACGGCATCTTTTCCTGTGCCTTACATGTCATACACCTTTACAGAATATAGCAATTAAAGAATATTTTCTAACTTTCCTTAAACCAATCAAGTTCAGTTGCTTTTTGTTTTTTTGTTTGTTTTTCTTATTTTTCTTCTCCTTTTTTTTCAAACAAGGAAACAGACCTAATAAGATAAGCACCCTGCGGTGTGCAACACAACCATGGTGGGAGTGTGGGAGCAGTAACACCAGGGCCAAATGTCCTGAGTCTTTGCCTAGTGTCCTCGGCTGCACCCTGTTGGGAAAGGCTGGCAGAGCAGAGGGGGCTGTGTCTTCTCAAGCGGGTTAATGCTGTGAATCTCTTTGTTTTAAAAGCATGCCCAGCAAGACCGGGCCGTCACCCAGACAGACAGGAAGATAGACACGGAGGTTGCTGGCCTTAAAACCATGCTTGAGTCACACAAACTTGACAATATTAAATACTTAGCAGGTAAGTGGCTTTGTATCTGGGTAGTTACAACAAGCTGAAAATAAAATAAACTTATAAAGTAAGTCAAAGACAGGTATTGCCCTTCATTGATTCCGGCTTATCTTGTTTCAATTTCAAATGGACGCCATCTTACAATTTGTAGTGGGTGGCTGCCATACTATAATTGACACCTTTTTCTTTCTAAGCAGTAACATAATTAGTAAAATGATACATTTTATAAATCACTGGATGAACTGTTGTCGTTGAACTACAGGTTAGTTCAAAACAAATATTTTTAGAGAGAATGAAAGGCTTTTGAGTTGTGAACTTCCTGCTTCATTGGGTGATATTCCTCATTAAAAAGTTGTTTTGCTTTTGCAATTTTTGAGCCCAAAGAGGGAATGAAAATTCATGTATCCCCCCAAAAAAAATTACTTAGCCATTATTTTAACTCAGATTTCATGTTTTGGCTTAATCAGATATTTAGTGTTTAGAAGTGAAATTTGGCTCATGAAGGGTCTGTCCTGTATATATGTACATATGCACGCACACACACATACACACACACACACACATATACACACACTGTGACCACCGAATTTTTGTGATTCTATACTTGGATTGAAAAACTTTCTTGAATATCAGATCCTTTGTACTTTGAAAATAATTTTAAGCTGTGGGGTTTTTTTAATGGGCTGGTGTTTCGTAGGATATTGTACATCTTTGAACAATATAAATCACTTGGATTTTTTTATTTTTTTCTTCTTTTTGGCAAATAGGTCGGTAAGTGGGTGTTTTACTAATAAAAAGACATTCCCCTAAGTAACCGTTAATAGAACTAACGCTGTTCTCAATTATTTTTTTTCTTACAGGGTCTGTATTTACGTGCCTAACAGTAGCTCTGGGATTTTATCGCCTGTGGGTACAATAAAGTATGTATTTAACAGTATCTCTACTCTTTGCCTTAAGAATGCCAGATTGTTGTCCTTTTTTCTCATCTTAAATTTTAACCCTGATTTGTATTTAATGCAGATTATTTTATATAAATATGGACAGACAACCAAGATAAAGAAGGCAGAAATTTCACAATTGCTCCTCTTATCTTTTCTGTTGAGTTGACTTTATAACCGAGTGGCTGTGGAGAAGGAAGACTCCACTCAGCGGGGCCAGTGAATTTGATCTAACCTGTGGGACATACCCAAAGTAAATATTTATCTAATTCTCTACAATTTTTTGTCATGTAAAGATATGAGGTCTCCATTGAAAAGCAAAGTGCTGAAGAATCACTGAAACCTAAGGACACTAAATCCTCTTCCTAAAAGCCCCACCCGTGCCTTCAGCCAGTCCCTGCCCCAGACGACTGTGTTTCAGCCTGAGCTGGTGGATATGTTAGTGATACAGCTGTATTTTACCCCCAAAGAAGGGGGTAAAATTTTCTTTTCTTTTCTTCTAATTTCCATTGTCTTAATAAGTTATTGTTATGGTTAATTTTAAAGTGTCTTCCAGCTAGAAAATTTTGTTGCTTAATGAAGTGTAATTGTCATGAGAACTCTCTTTTACTTCTTAAAATCCTGAATTTCCTTCCCTCTTCTTGCCGTTGCTCGCCCTCCCTCATTGACAACTGTAACAATCCACTTGTGGAATTACCTTTCCAAAAACCTGCTAATTCTTGACATGGAACTCTACTTCAGTTTTTAGAACAGGGTCTACTTCTGGTCGTCATCTGCTTTTTATAAAAGAGAGGCACTCAGTATTCCTCTGTAATGATACCTGGATGTGTGGTCGTGTACACACTTTTTAGGAGTAAACGTTGGTCTTTAATAAATATACCATTGCCCATTACAGGCTCAGATCACAGATGTTCTCATGCCAACCAGTATCATCCTAAGTTAGGCTGATTTCTCATGCCTACCTTACCTCTAGATCCAAACAGATCAGTTCCTAAATACAGCTGGAGTTATTTTGGAGAAGCATTTAATTAAATGACCACCACATAGAGGAAGATACGCATTTTAGAGAGGAAGGTGTCCATAGCATCTTTTCTCTTCCTACCTGTACTCACATGTGCACATAACCTGGTACTGTGCAGAAGCCACACGATCAGATGGGTAAAATGTTATTGTTCTCACCATATTAGTAAGAAGGTTACCTTTTGTCCTTTGGATATATTTTCTAAAATTTGGAAAGTATAAGTCATTGCCTTTTTAGAAAACATTTTTGTGGCATAAAGATTCTGGGCTCCACTCCCCAGTGGCGCAGCGGTTGAGCGCTGGGTTGCAAAGCTGCCTGCAGCCTCTGCAGCGCCGGTTCGCTCCCCGGGCACCGGCGAGGGTCCCACATGGCTCGCAGACCTCTCCTGCTGCCCGCTGTTCCCCTCAGCAGTGTACTTCTGTCCTGCCTGTTCTGCTCCCCACTCTGGCTCTGGTGAATTCTCTCACCCTCCAGCGCTTCTGACTACCCAGTGCTTGTATAAATAAATGAATAAATCTTTAAAAAAATAAAATAAAATAAAGATTCTGGGCTCCAAATAAGTAGAAAGACAAGTAAGTCTACATTTGTGGTCTCAGTTTCAAGTGAAATAACACAATTTAACCTTTCTTCAGCTAGACTGCAAATGGTCTTAACAGCTCTTTAAAATATTTTACCAGTATAGACTTCCCCTTTCTGAGAAAGATCCCCCCAAAACACTATACATTTAGCAGCCACTTTTAGTATCAAAGACTGATGTGCATGACGTCCCATTATTTGCACCTACTTCATATAGATCTGAATTTGGCTAATAAGAACTTGGTGAAGGGGCTGCAAGCTCAGGTGCTTCTCCAAAATAACCCCCAGAGGAGGAAGAAAATATAAGAAATTGTTTCGAAGCAAACACTAACTTCTATAGGTAAAAGCAGTGAAGTTAAAAACCAATAGTCTTTTTTAAAATAATACTCAATGGAATGATGTTCTTTCATCTGCCAAAATTACTTCAGATGACATTCCTGCTGTGATCGTGGGCCATAGCCGTCTGTCTCTTGGGGCTCTGATTTTGCTGCGAGTTCTCTGCAGTACAGAATCCCTGCCCCAGCCCGCCCTGGAAGCAGTGAACTTTTGATGGCATGGATGGCATGCACATACAGAGGTTAGGAGGACTCAGGACTGTGTTCCTTTATTTTATCAAATGTATTCTATTTGAAAAGCACTTAAGCCAAAAATACACATAAACCCTCCCTGCTGGTGGCCGAGATGCCTCAACATTGTAGGCCTGCTGTGACCGGACAGTATGAGAACCCTGAGCTAGCTTACACGGGTTCAGATCACCCCAGGAAATTAGACATTAATTCTCAGAAGGAAGACGGTCCTTGGCAAAACTTCCAGATAACCTCTGTCCGGCATGTAGGAACATCAGCCAGAGCTAGATCCTGAAAACATACATCAAGCAAAGATGCCCTGGTACAGATTCCTACAGCAGAACCTCAGAAGTCAGAATCCAAATGTGTCCCTTCTGTGTATGACTCCATGCTTAGAGGTTCCTCTGCATTGCTGCTTCTTCCCCTGCTCTCCTAAGGACCTTCACCTTTTTTATAGAACATAAACTCCAATTTCATTCCTTTCCTTAATAAGCAAAACCCATTTAGGTGGAGCATTCTTTACAGGGAACATGAATTTTGGGTTCCATGCCCATCTTATTCCCTAGCTGTTCTTTTCTCACTTAATACCTAACAAAAACAAATCTGAACATGTTCATTTTTGCCCCCCTACATATGCCAGGTACCTTAGTTGAGAAATCACAAGTTCCAGAAAAAAGCTTTGACTGAAACTAGAGATCTTGCTGGAATTTGCCTCCAGACACTAAAAACCAAAATCCTGACCCACAGTGATGATGCCCTGTCTGGTCGCCTGTTACTCACCTGTGATTGTCTCTGCAGCCACACTCAGTGACAGAACCTTCCCTCCTGTGCTCATTCTCCAACCTGTCTGTTCATTACACACGTGCCCTGGCAAGCATTTCTCTTCTCTCACCCTAATATGGTCTGGTCTAAGGATTTTGGTGTCACTTCTGAACAAATATAGATAGAACTCGTGTCTAGAAAACTGTGGTTTTAAAACCAATTTGTTGTGGCCTTTCTGAAACTAAAGCAAAAACATGTTAACCAGAAATAATTTATTCCTCGTGTATGTGAAATGTTGGAGAATGTTCAGCCTTTTATTGAAATTTTATTTGGAAAATACCTATATCTAGAGATTTATACATATGTTCCTCTGATCCTAGCCCAAATCATTTCTTAATGACCCTTTTATTACTTAAGCAGATGTTCAGTTGTATTTTTATATAATAGGGTGCATAAATTTTTATTGCCTAAAATAAAATAATTATCTTCTTTGGAAAATGTACTTTTCAATCAAATCGAATATGAAAAACTAGAACACCTTCTGCCTACACTGTATTTCAACTGTACTCCCTCCACTTGTATATACTAACACAGGTGTACGCTAAGAAAATCTGATACCTAAACATTTGAATTTATATAGAATGTAAATTTGACAGTGGCATTTGATACACAAAATAAATTTTCATTACTCAAAAGAATTCCTGGGCCTCCCCTGGTGGCGCAGCGGTTGAACGCTGGGTTGCGAGGCTGCCCGCAGCCTCTGCAGCACCAGTTCGATCCCCGGCCACTGGCGAGGGTCCCACAAAAAAAAAAAAAAAAGAATTCCTTTAGTGTGCTTATATAAAATATTGTGACTACTTGCTTGAGTGGCAATGATGAGGTTTCTACACAAGTTTTAGAAATAGCTGAGGACTTGGATGTAAGTGATAGAAATCCAAATCAGGTTAGTTTGAACAAAGAGGAATTTGCTTTTACCTGATGTAAATTCAGGAAGGGCAAAACTCAACCCTCAGCTTTCAACTCTGCTTATCTTAACCTCCACTTTTTCTCCAGGCAGGCACAACTCAGACCAACTTCAAGTGTGAAGAGCCAGAAATAGTAGCACATGCTCTTGTAACTTTTCCACTCTGAAAAGCTTTGAAGTAGCCAGCGTAGGCAGCTGAGGTGGCAGCGAGGGGCCCGTCCTGAGAGGGGTGCTGGGTTCTTCGAGGCATGCTTCCTCTGACCACCTGTTGAGCGAAATGCCCCACCTCTGAAAAATGGAGCTCTCCAGTCAGCCTGCCTGCAAGCTGATCTTTGATGTGACAGATGTCTGCTCAGAGAGGAAAGCGATGGGGGACCGTGCAGCTTGGATAAATGAAATAGAAAGGTAGCCTGGCGTTTTATGTGCTTTTCCCTTTCTCCAACCACAGATCACTTTTACCAAAGTTAGTCAAATAAACTAACAAGATTTGAAGATGAGCAATCGAGTTGATAAAAGGGGGACAGCAAGTGAGAGGCAAAGTGAGCTGCATGTGTGTTTAAAAACAGTGTCATTGATGTGTTCGATGTGGCGGTTCACGTCACCTCACTGCCACCTGCTTCGTGTCAGTGGTGTGCAGACAAATGAAAAACCTGTTCTTTGCTTCAGGTCTGTGATTTCTTTAAAAATAAGACATTTGTCTTAAAGACAGGCATTTTCTAGAAACCGCTTTCTCTGGTATCTAAACCTCTGGCTTTCCACAGCCAAGTTTCATCATTCCTTTTACTGCCAGGCATGTCTACCTTAACTCTGCCCTTTTCACCGGGATCACACTGAGCCCACAGTCAGCCAGACACACAGCATGCTTGGCGGAAACGGGACAGCTCCGGTTGTCTTTGACATAGCACAAACACACAGATCACTATTTTTAGGCCAACAATTCCAGGAATAAGTTGAACTATGTGGACATGCTACAAAGTCCTATCTTTCCGTTTCAGTTTCAACTTTTGTCTACATGGGGTTTTTTGTCTTTTGGTTTTTGTTGCATTGCTTTCTGTCAGTTTCCATGATTCTGAAGCTTTATCAGCTTCAGATTAAAGGCTGGGAA